ACTACTACTACTACTACTACTACTACTACTACTACTACTACTACTACTACTACTACTACTACTGCTACTGCTACTGTGACAGCGACAATGTCACAGTAGCAATTCCAGTGACAGTAACACTCTCAGTGACAGAGATAGTGACGGTGATGGTCATCGTGGCAGTGGTATCACGAGAGGTAGTGTCCGTATTGCTGAACGGCCGAACGCGCAAACACGCACCCCCCCCCCACACACACACACACATGCACTCACGCGCGCGCGCACGCACACCCATGCACATAGTCGATAAGCGATTACCTGATCCCAGTTAAAATCTATCAGTGGTCGAACAATGGAGAACACCTCGTCTACGCTATGTCCGTCCAGCTGTTCCATGCCGAGCACGGACAGCAGGCCAATTCCGGCGTGCTGAATCACCAGCATCCTATTGAACACGATGTGAAACGGAAACACGGAGAAGAACGTCGACGAGTTGACGGGCATAGCCTTCTCCAAGGTCGTGTTGACGCAATCGACGGGATGCACGTACGAGTAGTTGTCGAATTTCAGTTCCATGACGACGTCGACGCGCTCGCGACTCACCTCCTCCTTGAGCACGTCTATCTTCACCTCCTGCCGATAGACGGCCCTCGCGATCGACTTTATCTGGCCTTTCACGTAGGACACGTAGCCCTTCCGTCGCGAGCGATAGTGCAGCGTCATGCTGTGGCGGCTCTCGCTCTGGCAGAGGAACGACGGAGGTTTCAGCTTCGGGTAGCTGAAGCGCAGGTACTCGTGCAGGTTGTCGAGCCCGTTGAGGAAGTCACGCAGGTTGCGACCGAGCACCTTCTGGATGCGATCGTAGCCGTAGTTGCCCGTGAATTGCACGAAGTAGAAGCCGAAGCTCTCCATCAGGTCGTCCCTGTTCACGCCCGTCAGTTCTACGGTCGCCTGGCAGATGCGAGGAATGACCGTCTCCGAGTAGACCTTGTGCGTCGTGAAGCTGTGCTGTCGTACGCCGGCCCGCTTCCTGATTTCCTCCCACTTCTGCTCGCCCAGCGTTGTCCGCAGGTATTCTGCGATGCCCTGCACTAGAAGCCCGTACATGACGGCGGCGGCGGTGGCGGAGGAGAGGCTAGCGGCGCGCGGCGACGGGAGATGTGGACGACGGAGACATCGTTACTGTCGAGCTGGTCAGCGTACGTGCTGCCGCGTGCGTGCGTGTCCGTGCGTGCGTGTCCGTGCGTGCGCACGTGCGTGTACGGGTGTGTTGGGACTAGTGGTAATAGTCGTGCTTATATCACTTTGACGTTGTCACGAAACAGTGCTGCGGCTGTTGCTCCTGCTGCTCTCTGGTAGCTTTCTTTAGGGCACACAAGAGACACAAGGGAAACGGATCACTCTCAATCGGCCCACCGCCATGTAAGAAACCACAGAAACGCTGCTAAGCCATTATTTTTGACGCTGATGTGGCACGAAAGAACACCGACACAACACGCACGGCCTGCGCACACGGTCCGTTGCTCGTGTTAGATGCCACCCAACTATAAGGAGCGGCGGCCGCTGGCAACTTGAGCAGCGATAGATATAGATCGATGGGCTGGCTGGCTGCCTTCACCGCGCATTCTCAGCTTGCAACTCGCTCCTGTAGTTAGCAGGCAGTGATAGCCCAAAACGTTGCCTCGCTGAGGTTGATACCCGCACAGCGAGTGCGTGCGCAGCGCTCGTACAGCGATGTTGAGTGTAAGAGAAGGCCGACGTGCGCACGTGCATGCGCCGCCGCCGCCGCCGCCGCTGCTGCTGCTGCTGCTGCTGCTGCTGCTGCTGCTGCTGATG